ATTTGGGCACGCCTCAGAATTGTAGTGTGAGCGGTATCGGAACGAAATTGGAGCGAGACAAAGCGACCGCTCCAGCCTTAATTAGAAAACCCGCTCCGCACTCTGAAAAAATTCCGCCCGCTCCGCTCCTCGCTCACGCTCCGCTCCGCTCACATGCTCTGTTGAACACACAGCAGAGAGGTTTAGCAGCTACACACTCAGCGGTTAGGGGAACAGGGGAAACACACTAAGGACTTTGACAATGGGGAGGACAGGATGGCCAGCGACACCTGCTGGCCAAAAGGGGAGAAAATACAAAAAGATACGAAAGACTCGGACAGACGGGTGCTGACCCTAACACATTATTAAAGCCATGAAGTTGTCTGCCTGTTACCTTAGAATCTCCATTGAATAAATTTTTGAGAAAACATTTAGGCTAGAATCTGAGCTTATTCTATGTTGGTTGACGGTGCAAATGTGTGTTTGTGCAAGCTGGGGTTGTTGGGACCAGTGGTATTATTATAAACTAAAATTGAAACAAAAACTAAATAAAAGAAAATAATTATTAAACTGAAATAAAAATGAAAACTATATTTACCAAAAAAATGTGTTGGACTTTAATCAGCAAAAGTACTATAACACCAACACCGTCTTTTTACTTTATTTATCCATAACAGCTCCTCTTTTAAAAGACGTAGTGGCTGCTGTGCCGTCGCTTTCTTCAACACCACTTCATTGCTTTTTGCTTCCATGATTTACTAAAACAGTACTATGTGGCGCTCCCCTTACTGAATTTAATAGCCATAAAGATATGCTGAATTTATACAGATTACTAACTTTTGGGTATCACAATACGCATCTCATTAATATTTTAGACATAATACTAATCAGCTTATTGAATTCTGGATGAAAATACAGTAATGTCTGTATAGTGCCCTGCAATGATATACAGTTTGTTGTGCTCAATGTAAAATTAACTTAAATGATAAATTTGATGTTTGGGAGGAAAATTAACCACTTAGATTTATCAACCAAAAATGGTCTATATTACAGCCCTTGTTTGTCTTTAAATGCTGGTTCTCTGTACATTACATGCTTACATGGTTCAGTACATTTTAAGTGTCAGGTCGCTGCACTTTTTGCTGCCCTAATGACACTCATTTGGTGGCTCCCACCTGTGACAAACAGGTTTACTGTCACCCACTTTGACTGTCATAATGGATGCAGATTGTTTCTTATTTTGGTTTAACTTACACCATTGAGTGAAAAAAATGTGCTCAGCACCTGCGTAGGAGTGTGGTAGGGTGTGAGCAAGTTTGACTGTTGCTGATGATCTGGGGAACCTGCTCATTTCAGGGACATAAGTACAATATACCACACCATGGTTGTCAGGACTTCAAAGGTAAAGGTGATAGGAGACCCTGGTTCAGGAGACTGAGGATTTATTGAGGGTTCCAGGCCCAAAACCATCAGCAGGCTAGGGGCGATGTCAAGGTCATGGTGCAGAAGGAGTTGAAGACTGGGGAGATCAGTCCTACACGCACACAGAAAACTGGGGGCAGGAGTCCAGGGCATGAGAAGCAGGCGAGTGGGACAGGAACAGGTGGCATGGGTACGAGGGTTGCAGGTTTGGGCAGGGCAGGATCAGGCAGGGCAGAATAGAAAACAAGGTTAATCAGCCACTCAGCAAGGCACATATGGCAACAAAACTTTGGACTGGTAATGTGGACGTGTTTGGGCTTCATATGAGCGTGACAGAACCCCCTCTCTGACGGCTGCCTCCTGGAGGCCGAACGGGATGTGGGGGCCCTCCTCAAGGCTGGGGATCAGGCTTCGATGGGTGGTCCCGATGGAATGCTGAGACTAGGTTCGGGTCATGCCCCTGGCAGGAATCCAAGACTCCAGAATCATCGGGGCTGTAGCCCTCCCAATCCATTAAATACTGGAGCTGCTCCCAACGCCTTCTGGAGTCTAGAATGGCTCAAATGGGATAGGTGGGACTGCGACATCAGCTTGGGGACCAACAGGGCTGTACCTGATGGACTTGAAGAGTGACAGATGAATCAATTTCATGTTTTGTAAGATTAAAAATAGCCTTTATATTTTTCACCTACTCTGTAGTCGCTTAATCCTATTCAGGGTTCTATGGGGTCTGAAGCCTATGGGCACAGGGCAAGGAACAACCCAGGATGGGGCACCAACGCATCACAGGGCACACACATCACTCACTGGAACTATTCCTTTGCTAATCTTAGTTAGCTGCTGTATCTTGTTAGCTGACATTACCTTGTTAGAGTTTTGCTTATTGTACCACATACCTCTTCACCTCCGAACTGTATCCTGCATCTTTGGAGTAATGACAGGTTCTAGTGGTCTAGGCTGAAGACACCCAACAACAACATCATGTGGGCAGCCCTAGTCGCATGGTAAGACACACAACACTCTAAACCAGCATAACCAGCATTTCAAGGAGGTTAATGTTACAGATGAGTAGAATTGTGAAATTTGCAGGAGAAATTACAAGCTTAGCATGAGACTGTGAGATTGGACCCAATTGTGGGAGTCTGACGGTCAGTGTGGGAGAGCTGGCAGCCTTGCAATGTGGTGCATCTTTAAAGATGCCAAACACACTTCAGTGTTTTAACATGTACTGCTCATTTTTCATTTAATTTCTGTACAGATGATTTTCTCACTCTCAGGGCTGCAGGTTATAAAATACCTTCAAATCAGCAT